TATATATATTCATCACACAATATTCTCAGTACTCTGATGGCATCAAACTTATATCATTGTTTGAACTCACAATTAAAACTTAAGACAACATTAATTAATAAATCTTAACCTTGTCTTGCACACATTTCTACCTTATCTGCATTAAGGTTTAACTGCATCTGGTGGCCAAAAAATGGTGCAGTATCGTGAATAGTTTCTGGAAACAACACCCAAGAACAATAACAAAAATGGGGACAGAGGCGGCTTTGTCAACCAATGGTAATGATAAGTGACGGAGGCGGCTTTGCCGGTCTGACAAAATATAACAAGCAGTGTAACTGCACCAGTCAATTAAAAGGCAAAAATAAATGATAAGATAATATTAAATTTTAATAAAAAAAAAACTCTCAAAAAATAGAGAAAAAAAAAAAAAAAACAAACTTTAAAAGACGTTTCATCATGTAATAAAATTATATAGAGTACACATTTTAATACTTCACTTGGTGTTCCCTATTCTCTTAAAATATGATTGTAATCATAAATAGTCACAATTTTATCACCCTATGGACCCTCCCTATGAAGTACACACCTCTAAGCTTTGTGCCAAGCCCCTTTAGCTCTCACTTAGAAGCTCGCTTCACTTGTTGCACATTCCAACTTTGCTGTAGGTGTAGCTATAGCTAGGGCATTGAAATGAGGGATTTTCACTATGTTCACATGTGGGGCTGGATTTTTCTGTATGTACTACGGTATCTACCACTTGCCCCAATTGATCTTGAACAGATTACTCCACTTGTTGTATCATTGCTCCTCCTCATCACTCGTCGGAATATCCACTTATTGTATGTACTAGGTTTGTCGTGGTCGACTCAAGTTCCACTGTCGGTTGGTTTTGTGTGATCACTAATTCTTCATTGCTTTCATCCAAGCTTGCCTGTCCATTTGTTAAAAAATGAAAATTATGATGTCATCAACAAAAAACAATTGTAAGAAGCCGATATTAATTACGGTGATGAAGCAAAAAGGAAAAAATATTATTAGTGCGTATTTTAGAAAAACTTTAGAAAATAGTTCTTCTGCTCAAAACTCCCCAGAGTCACAATATAGTAGATTTTGTTCCAATATTGTGTGTGTTTGGCAAAGCTTAAAAGGCAACTTGCAAGGTTACACATATCTGTACAGAAAGCTTAAGAACTAGAAATTGAAAGTTCTTATATAAGCTACTTTGCAGCCGTGATTCTTCTAAATTTTTTAATTTCATAAGGATTTACCTGCTAAAGGAATTAGAGATGTCCTCTAAGCTGACTCAAGTTGAGCATCTTCAATAACATACTGTATTATCCAAATTTTAAAGAATGTCAGTTTTTTCAAAAGTTCTCATTATACCCATGAAGAGACTATATATGCTCAATTGCAAGCCAAAATGCTTGTCTCAATAAAGATCTGGGGAACATACCAGAATAGTTCTTTCCATTGGTGAGAACAACTTTCTGCTCTTCCATTTACTAATTGTTGTTGTCAATTTTGTGGAGGAGGTCGTAGGTGTTTCCCCCTGCCAATTCCTTACACACATACAGAAATACAAGTATACACTCTCTTCTAGATCCATATCACCTGAGAAAACCCGAATCAGTACCTTGCATTCTCATAGATAAATATATAAACAACTGACAGTCTAGTAACGTAACTGCAAATATTAGTCCATAAATTAAGAAACATATTGCTTGAGTGCTAGAAATGAACAAGAAATTCAGAAGTTTAACCCCACTTGCCCGTTTTTAACTTCTGTCCCTGCCTAGCATGAATCTCTTACAATCCCATATTCTTCAAAAGTTTGAATCTTAAATGAATTACAATTCCATCGCTGAAACCAAAAGTATGTTCGATTTGGTGAATGTCATCCAGATCCAGTCTAACTGACACATAGATCAACTGACAGAGAAATGAGTACAGAAATTCTGAACAAAAACTCCTAAACTGAAATGCAACTAGAAGAGAGCTAAAAGAGCTTTACAGGTACAACCGCACAAAAATAGCAATATCACTTCTCAATCTCATGCCAAAATTAGCAACATTCAGGAAAATACCAAAAGCCATTACGCATAATGAAAATAACAGATCAAGATAAAAGTAACCATTAATGAGACATCAATTACATAAAATAAAAGGCAAAGGAACCCCTTGAATCAATTTATAAGGAATGGCATATATACCAGCATCAGGCATCATAACGTTGCTTGACAGTGGGTAAGAATTCCATCAGATTCTGCAATTTATAGTTGAATCTGGGAGGTTTTCAAAACTATAAATGGTGGATATATTCTAACTTGAAATTGATGATGCATAAGTGTAACATTAATTTAAGAAAATGAAGGAAGGATGAGAGAATGCATCAGATCATCTAATGCAGTCAATTTTTGAAAGAAAATGATAGGAGAAAAATATTGCTTGCCTAAATTCATGTTTGGTGCTTGGCTCTGTCTTTTCTGCTAACATTTGCATCATCAACTTAACCTCAGTAGAATTATGGGCCATGAGAACAGGTCTTGTTACTTGCTAAAGAAGATCTTTCGAAAGGTTATGCTTGAAAGTTGAAACTGATTCCTTGTAGGCTATTTTTGAAGATCCAGAGGTCTGTTGCTCTACCTGCATTTGATTTGTGTCAAAGGAATAGCAACGCTTTCATTGTACATATTTGCGAGGTGGCCTTGATGACCAAAATTGGAAACGAGCAACATTTATTTTTCTTACCTTGGAAACAAAATAAGGTGGCTGCCAAGCCTTGATGCTTCGCAAGTCTGAACATTCTTTTAGTTTTCTGCTTGTGACCATCGATTTTTGGCTTCCACTTCCAACGCTTCTTCCATGCTTCCTTGACCATTTTCTAAAAATGATAGAAATTGCAATATCAATGAGAGGAGCACATATTTGGACAAGAAAAAAGAAGTGGAACATAGAACAAATTGCGATCTAAACTTGGCCTTGTAGCCTAATGGTTTACTGCCTAAGCTTAAGAGATTGGTGCCCTCCAGTCCTGAGTTCAACTCAGGCCAGAAGCTCCATCATGGATAAAGGGAGCTCAATCGGTGAAGCATACATGGTTCAAGCACCATTTTCTAAAAATGATAGAAATTACAATATCAATTACAGGAGCGTATGACAAATTATAATCTAATGAAAATAGAACATACCCTCGTTGGAAGCTCGTCTCCAGTGTCAGTTTATTATGATACTTATAATGTGAGAAATCTTGGGCCACTCAGAACTGCCTTCTCTGTCGCATCTTACTTTTAACTCAGGGCAGTTATCAATGCGAAGGAAATATAAGTTGGACAGGTGATGCATGGCTTCCAATGATGGCATATGTTTCAGAGACTTGCAGTCAATAATCCTCAGAGTTTGAAGAGAGGTTAAGTCTCCCAACCAGTCTGGCAAAGCTTCCACTCCATGGAAATCTTTTATTCTCAGCTCCCTCAGGTGAGTTAGGTGTCGAATTTGATGGGGTAGATCCCTTAGGTTCTCCCATCCAATCATAGTCAAATTCTCCAGTGAGGGTTTGGGGTGAGAAATGGAACTGAGAACCGGGAATTCCTCTAGCTCTTCTGAGAAGCCACCAATACACAATATCTTCAAGCAAGCAAGGCTGCCAAGGCTTTCCCCGGGGATGCTTATCAAGTTTCTACATCTTGAAATGTCTAAATGAACAAGACAACACAATTCATTCAAATCCTCTAGATTAGAGTTGAGATTATTGCCATGTATTATCAACTGCTCAAGAGCAATGCAAGACGGCAACCCACTTGGTAGACTTGTTAGTCCATCACATTCTTGTATAGATAAAGTATGAAGAAGTGAAAGCCCGTGTATGCTTGGAACAGACATCAGACTGGGACACTTCCTTATCATCAACTCTTTGAGATTTGTGGACATCGACAAGCTCTCCCCTATACTACTCAATTCCTGACAGTCCCAAATGTGGAGTATCTGGAGGGTTGCTAATTCACAAACCACCGGAAGACTTCTCAACTTAGCACAGCTCTCTATATTTACTTCTTTAAGAGACTCCATGGCAGATGTATTAAACTCTATACTTGTCAGTTCATCACAATTATCAATCCTGAGCTCCTGAAGAGATGAAACTGCAATGGTTTTCAAATTCCTGCAATTATCAATTACCAGTCCTGCCTCACGACTAAGTGAAACTGATTGAATGCTTTCCAAGTTTCCACAGAAAGAAAATCTCAACTTCACCAAATTCCCAAGCCGAAATGAAGGAATGCTTCTCAAATTGTGACAATTTAGAAGTGACAGCATCACCAAATTGCTGAACAAATGATCTTCGTCAACCATCCATGAAGGACAGTTTTCACCACCATAACCCTTAATAGTTAGGCTTTTCACATTTGAGGGAGGTACAAGGCCTTCAAAAACATCTTCATTCTGTTTGCTTCTTTCTTCTGAGCAATATTCCCACTCAAATTCCAAATCGTAAACTGCACTCTTTTCTAGCAATTGTGCTCTCATGGCTGTAGATTTGTCTCTAACATTCTCTAGATTACATATCTCTAGTTTTCCTTTGAGTTGGCTCAAGCATCCCAATTCTTCAATTCCATGTCCCTTCTGCAGGCCCACAACAAATAATGGCAATGTTTGCAAACAAGTCAATCTACCAATCGATGTTGGCATATGCTTTTTATCATTGAAGTAAATATGTCTCAAACTGATCAAATCTCCAATTTCAGGAGGCTTTCTAAGACTGTTGCAACTCCTAAATCTGAAGGTTTGCAAATTATAGAGCTTGGAGATAAATTTGGGCAATTTTTTTATTTTTGTTTCTGAAACGTCCAAGTATCTCAAACGCTTCAATTTGCCCAATGAAGTCGGTAACTTGTCAATATCAGCACCACAAAAGCTAAGAACCAGCAACCTTTTGAAGTTTACTGGTACATTGGGACGCACATCAACCTTTGAAAACAAAGAGTACAGATCCCTTGACTTTGAAGGCCCCATATTTTCATAAGAAATTAGATTCAAATGCCGGATATTAGGGATATTACTTGCACTGCCATTCTCTAAAATCAACGTTTCAAACTTTGAGATAGATTGTGCAACATCATGTATTAAATCATGCATCTTGCAACGTACAATATGCCTGTGAAAATCCCTTTCTTCATCTTGGAATAGGGAATATGATAACAAGCAATTGAAGTACTTGTCACCGATGTCTTCCATCTCCTCGGAGCTTTCTTCTGACGGCTGGAGAAATCCTTGAGCCATCCAAAGTTGAATTAACATTTCCTTTTCCATCACAGAATCCTTCGGAAAAATGGAACAGTATGCAAAACATTGTTTTAAAGCCAGTCCAGGTAGGCGATCAAAAGTCAATTGCAATAAACGATAAAGTACGTCATGCAATTCTTGATAAGAATGCCATGCTTGGAGAATCTCTTTAGTTGATAACCAGCTATCTATATCCATGTTATTGCATAGAATCCCCTCAACAATAGATACAACTAAGGGAAAACCTCTACATCCATGAGCAATGTCCTGTACAATATGCTCCCTGTCCTTCAATTGCCCAGGAGAGCATTGAAATACTCCAGGTTCGATAATAGACACAGCTTTATCCTTCCTTAACAACTTAACAACATACATGTGTTGAGGAAGTGATCCCATTATTATTGCTACACTCATAATTCGACATGTGACAAGAACCTTATTCCCAACATTTTGACTTATCTTCAACAAACAGCGCTTTAAAAGTTCCCATTTCTGCCTATCCTCATTGCACACACCATCTAGTATGAGAAGAAAATTTTTCTCTCCCAACACTTCTTGTAGTTTTTGAACTAGAGCATCTATACTTCTTTCATTCCCACAATAAGTTGGGTCAAGAGAGTCCAGCATCTCTTTTAAAATCCGTTTCACATCAAAATTTTGAGAAACACAAATCCACACTTTTTCCTTATAATGTCTACTCACTTCATGATTGTTGTGAGCTAGTTTTGCCAAAGTAGTCTTACCAATGCCAGCCATACCAACAATAGAAATAACACAAAGAGGTTGTTGATTACTTGAGTCAATCAACAATTGAACTATTTTCAGAGTGTCATCATCTCTTCCTAGGACAAATTGTCTATCCATCTGAGGTTGATGCAGAGAACGTAAGGACCCTGTCTGCTCCCTAGCAGGTTCAAATAACTTAAGGGTATTGTTTGCAAGTCTATAATGAAGTCCTAGATTAGCAGCAGATGCATTCAAGTTGTCTAGAGCACTATTTAAATCCTTAATCTGATCAGCCATCCTGAGGCGAAATACCAAAGGACTATAGAGAGTAAATAAGTAGCTGACCTGTTTCCACATCCGTTTCCG